AGAATGCAGATGAGTGAAGTTAGACTAATATATAGAATTGGTTCCTAGTTGGTCGCATAGGACGGCGAATAGTAAACACTTAATCTAAACATAATCCCAACTTTAAAAAATGTATCACTTCAAGCGTGAGATGCAGTTGCATTGATATCAAGCACAAAGGGATAATATGAAAATATGGCTTATTCCTGCAGTTTTCACGAATAAACATGTCACATGCAAGATACATTATGTATATCAACAATAAGAACTCTAACAGATCAAAAGATTCGTGAAATAGTTCAGTCTATACACTCATGTGACGGGGATCCTTGGGAAAAAGGAGAAATTGAAAGAAGTAGTGGTAAAATCCTTCCTAAATTTCCAAAAGTTTCCAAGCCTTGGAAACATCATCTTTCCAATTTTGGAAATTTTTGGAAATATGATATTTCTAAATTGGAAATTTTTGGAAATCTACATTTTTTTCTTGTGAAAGCGGCAAGATTAACCGCAGTGCGACATTGCGACATTTTGGTCCTTTGTCGCCTTGCGCACTGCGGTTAATCTTGCCGCTTTTTGCTTGTTTTTGTGAGGGTGATACGCGACAATGCATCTTTTGGGCCTTGAAAATTGTTTGCTCTATCGCATGGTCGCCCTTTGGATGAATACCAACAAAAAAAATATTCAAAGCGCGACAATGCGACAAATGGTCAATGTGTCTCGTTGTCGCATTGTCCCACTTTGGTTGATGTTGCCACTTTTTGCTTTTTTTGTGAGGGTGTGTGTGTGTGTGTGTGTGTGCGCGCGCGCGTGTGTGTGTGTGTCCGTAAAACACTGGTTTCGTGTTATGGTGTGGATCGTTTGACATGCATGAGGGCTATTCTGGTCAAACTAATCTGTTTACATGCCATCATAATATCGCTCAAACACAACTATCTGCTGGACCCGTGAAGATCCGGTGTATAATTGGTCTTTAGCAACCCATACTGGTCGTAAGAGGCGACTTAGGGGGTGGTCAGGTTCTCTGACTTGGTTGACAAGTGTCATCGCATTCCAGTAGCGTAGATAGATGCTCATGCTGTTGATCACTGGATTGTCTGGTCAAGACTCGATTATTTACAGACCGTCGAGTGCTGGTGATTAGGTGCCTGATTCTGAGAGTGTGGGTTCGAATCCCGGATGGGATTCAACGCAACATAAGTACTAGAATCTGTACTTTACCGAGAAGGTGTAATCTCAAACATGACATGTGTTAACTATGCAGCCTCTATAATTCAATATCGACATTTTAAAAAATACTGGTCATGCTGCCATTTACGCTTTTGTTAGTTATAATGAACTGTAATGTGTATGCGCTACTGTAAAAATGAAACAAAAATAAAACATATATTTTAAAAAGTATGCAAATTTGTTACACTGTCACACAGCTGAAAGTTTGCAGAGTACGGCGTTAAACAAACAAACAAACAAACAACTAACTGCTGCGTTAAATAAAATTCAATCACTCATGTGTGTACGTTGTATACGCCAGTTAAAAACTTTTCAGTGAAGGATATCAATGAAGGATATCAATGAAGGATATTTTGTAGATACAAACAACCCTCACCTTTGTACAAAACACTCCCTCACTCAAGTCCAAGGTCACTGAGTATCGATTGGTTGCTAGGGACGCGCGTAGACTGGAACGTATACGTGTTTGCAATCTATACAATACAACTAATGTCAACACTTACTTCTGATTACACTGATTATACTCGACAGCTTGAATGTAGAAATATCGAACAGGCAGAACAATCTCGGGGTTCAGACCCAGCCCCCATACCAAACAGTTCGTCGGATCAACCACTCTTTCCACACCACCACTCTCTCCTTTGGCGATCACACACGCAAAGACAGCTCAGATCAGAATGAAGGTACACGACTCATCCCTATAGCCACATACGATCAACTCAAGAATTCGGACAATAATGTTTAATTACATTACATGAATTTTTGGATGAAGAGTCTTGGGAATGTATGCAATCTGCATCCATTAACCAACAGCATCACTGGTGATAGAACTGGATGATGATGAGGCTTGTCTCTTGAATGAGGAGTTGTCGAACCGTATAGGACCGCCTTCTGTCCAAACAAGCACCTGCATGTCGTGTTCCTGAGTGTTTGACGATGGCCGGGTTCGCTGTACTACATATGAGATGATGGAAAATGTCAATAAACCTTATTGTTACACTGCTCTCAGTAAAAATTGATGAGATTGCATCTTGTTTAAGGCGACACAACCTAAGGTTTGTATTCCGGGATCAACCATTCGATTATCTACGGGAAGCTGATATTATTATATTTGTACATTATTTATTCCAGACTAAAAAAAGGAGAGTACAATAGCATGTCCCTGTTTTTTTTCAGAATATACTCTGCTTAAAAAGAAACGCAAAGACGTTTTTCATATCTATACGTCCTGTATTGTATAAATAGTAACAGATCATAATGTGTCGTTCATTTTGGGATAAATCATTGCAACTGACCGAGGGGCATCATCAGCACGTAAAACAATCGAATTTCAAGGTGAAGGTAATCTTGTATGGTCCCCATGACGGTCCAGAACTGCCTTGTATCGTCGTCCCATGGAACAAATCAGATAATGCTCACCCACTCTACCTGCAGTGCTTGTGCCCACTGTTGGAGGTTCTGTGGCTGTTGCTGACGTCATTGCAGACGTTGATCAAGAGCACCCCTTAAATGTTTGACTGGGTTTAGATCTGGAGACTTTGAGGGCAAAGGGCGTACTTAGGTGTTGTGGATTTTCAAATATTCAATTGTTAGTCTTGCCGTATGAGGTCGGGCGTTGAAAAATGACTTTTGCATAATGGGAAGGACTGACTGACTGAGTTTGGTTTTACGCCGCTTTTAGCAATATTCCAGCAACATCACGGCGGGGGACACCAGAAATGGGCTTCACACATTGTGCCCATGTGGGGATTCGAACCCGGGTCTTCGGCGTGACGAGCCAACGCTTTAACCATTAGGTTACCCCAACGCCCCTTAATGGGAAGGAAATGCGGCCGAGGAATGTCATCTGTGTAAAGTTGTGCCGTTAGATTGCACTGAGTGTGTACCAGTTCTGTTCTACCTGATTGAGCCCACACCATTACACTTCCGCAAGGAAACCTGTCCACTTCCTGTTTGCAGTTTCGAGCATAACGTTCCCAACGACGTCTGTAAACACGACGTCTTACATCAGCACGGAAAAGAAACGTGACTCGTCACTAAACTAAACACGTTCCCATCGCCGTTGTTACCATACTTTGTGTCCTTGACACCACTGACGTCCCAGCCGAGACTATACTGATCAGTCACAATGACTCCTCGAACTGGTCGGCTTGGACGACTGACTGGCTGAGTTTAGTTTTACGCCGCTCTTAGCAATATTCCAGCAATATCACGGCGGGGGGACACCAGAAATGGGCTTAACACATTGTGCCCATGTGGGGAGTCGAACCCGGGTCTTCGGCGTGACGAGCCAACGCTTTAACCACTAGGCCACCCCACCGCCCCCGGCTTGGACGAATACGTGCTGCTCGTATACGGTTCCTCACAGAAATTGCTGTAGTTGAAGAGGTGGTCGTGGTGAGTCCATCGCGTAAGTGACGAACCCGTGTAAACCTGCCCCGTGACACGTGGTCGACGGGACTTTGATGGCGGTTCCGTAGTCTTGTAATGATGCGTGGCAACACTAGTAAAAACCTGGCTGAGTAAAGATAGCGTTATGTTTAGCAGAGCGTTGTTTGACGGTATTGATCGTGTATCTCAGTTCAGTGACAGAGGCAGTCTTGAGACACTCATGCATGTCGGTTGCCCAAACAATCAACAGCGCACCGACATCCATTATTACCAAGGGTGTGCTTGGTGCATGTACAGAAATGTGTCAGGGCGAGACGTGACTCGAATCTTTGTTCATGTGATTCTAGTTTTTTCACGGTCCCAAGAACCAATATTTTCCCGACCGTTCAGCTCTTTCTGTAAGAGAATCCCTAAATGAAACAAATTCAGATGATCCTCAGGTGGGGCTTTTCGGTTTAAATGGAGTTTGTTTTTGTTTGGTTTTCTGCTCTGTCAGAATTATATATTTTAAGAGACTGAGCGATAGTCAAACACGTTTCTACCGGAGATGACGACTGCGGCGCGGCGACCCAAGACGAACTGGAACCCGCGCATCTGTGAAATTGCACTACTACATCATGGAAGTTTCTTATAGCAACACCCAACACGGGTGAGGCATCACACAACTGAAGGTAACCCAATGAATACCTCACGGGACTCAACCCAACAAAAGTACAAAAATCTGTACTTTACTGAGAAAGTGTAATCCCTAATATGACATATGTAACACAGAGAGCTTGAACAATTGAACCAGTGAGTGAGTTTAGTTTTACGCCGCACTCTGCAATATTCTAGCTATATGACGGCGGTCTGTAAATAGTCGAGTCTGGACCAGACAATCCAATGATCAACAAAATGAGCATCGATCAGCGTAATTGGGAACCGATGACATGTGTCAACCAAGTCAGCGAGCCTGACCACCCGATCCCGTTAGTCGCCTCTTACGACAAGCATGGGTTACTGAAGGCCAATGTTCTAACCCGGACCTTCACGGGTCGAAAGAATGGTGTTAGTAAGTTCATTTGTTTACCTGAATGCGCCTTTTTTAAAAACCAAAAAACAAACAAAACAAGAACAAGTTCAAGAACACGTGCGGTTTTCAATGTGGTCAAAGTTGTGTCATTTGAGAGAGTGAGTGAGTCAAGATTTAAAGTCACACTGGCAATATTTCAGCCATATCGTGACTAAAACAATATTGACTTTAATAATAAAGTTATTTCATAAAATCTGTCAACAAAGGACAGTAAAAGAACTAGATTATCACATATAGAAATCTAAAACTAGCATGTTAGCATTAAAACATTTACTACAAAACAGGATATTACAATATACAAACAGGCTCTAGATCACCAGCAACTGAAGGTAGATCCACAGGGGGTGTCACGTTTAGAAACAGCCTTAGAAAGACATATAGGTATATAGACCCTACCCTAGTCCTTTTATATAGTACTAGGGTAGGGTCTATATACCTATGTGTCTTTCTAACGCTGTTTCTAAGCGTGACACGCCCCTGTGGGTAGATCACCATACTAGACAACCCCAGCTAATTTCAATCAAATTCCGAAAAAAGTTTTTCCTTCGTAGATATCATAATACCAATTTAGCAAATACTGATTACCAGAATGACAGACTGAGTAGTCTGATCGCGTCTCCTTCAGCACTATTTCCGCAACATAACGGCTCGGCATCTTGTACCTACAGTCACGTGTCTTGAACCCGGCCGGAGAGCGGAAGGTCGCGGGTTCGATCCCCGACCGCGTCATACCAAAAGACGTTAAAATATGGTACTTGTTGGTCCCTGCCTGGCGCTCGGCATTAATGGGTACAACAAGGACTGGTCGGCTCGGAGTCAGTATAATGTGTGTGAGTGGGGTATTCATGCTTCACTGCGGCATGGTATCCCATTGGGCTAGCACTATAAAACCAGCTTCAGTCTGGGCTAGTACAAGCAGCCGCACATACACATACACACGCATGCACGTCGTCATATGAGTGAAATATTCTCAAGCACGACGTTAAACCCAATTTCACCTCACCTCACCTCTTGAACCCGGTCTTCCGCATGACGAGCGGGCGAATTAACCACATGGCTACCCTCCAATTACACGTTTGTTGACTAAGTTATTACAGTACTATTATATGATTTTTTCACATGGCCCCAACTGTCATCCTGGATAGAGTGTCTGCCAAGAGATTGTCGCTAGTTGATTCTGGGCCACGTTGACCATCAAAATACATACAACGTAAACTGACTGGTGCTCAGTGACTGAGTTTAGTGTTACGCCGCTCTTAGCAATATTCCAACAATATCACAACGGGGGACACCAGAAATGGGCTTCACACATTGTACCCATGTGGGGAATCGAACCTGGGTCTTCGGCGTGAGGAGCGAATGGCTGACTGACTGACTGAGTTTAGTTTTACGCCGCTTTTAGCAATATTCCAGCAATATCACGGCGGGGGACACCAGAAATGGGCTTAACACATTGTGCCCATGTGGGGAATCGAACCCGGGTCTTCGGCGTGACGAGCCAGCGCTTTAACCACTAGGCTACCCCACCGCCCCAGGAGCGAATGGAATGCCGGTGGAGATCAGTACCAAGGTGGTAAAACACGGACTGGTCAGCCTCTGAGAGAGAACTGTTTTGTTTTTGTTTGTTGTGTAAAGCCAGTACCCACGCATCATGAGCATCAGCATACGATGGCATGCACGAAGGAAGTCAGTAGGCAGGCCCTGTGATCCCTTAACAGCCTCTTCTTATACGCATGTGTTGCTGAAGGCCAATTCTAACACCACTAATACTAACTAAACCTGTGGTGGTGGTGTGTGGCCATGTGCATAGAGTGCAGGCCACACATCAGGTTAAACAACGTTGGTGTCATGGAGAGTCCATGGATGGGTGTCATGGAGAGTCCTTGAATGGGTGCCATGGATAGCCCTTGTTTGGGTGTCATGAGAGTCCTTGGATGGGTGTCATGGAGAGTCCTTGGATGGGTGTCATGGAGAGTGCTTGGATGGGTGTCATGGAGTCCTTGTATGGGTGTCATGGATTGTGTCATGGAGAGTCCATGGATGATGGAGTGTCATGGTCATGAGAGTCCATGGATGGGTGTAATGGAGAGGAGAGTCCATGGATTGTGTCATGGAGTGTGTCATGGAGAGTCCATGGATGGGTGTCATGGAGAGTCCATGGATTGTGTCATGGAGAGTCCATGGATGGGTGTCATGGAGAGTCCTTGAATGGGTGCCATGGATAGACCTTGTTTGGGTGTCATGAGAGTCCTTGGATGGGTGTCATGGAGAATCCTCGGATGGGTGTCATGGAGAGTCCTCGGATGGGTGGCCGACCGTGTTTGGCAGCATTGCTACTAAGTGTTTCTTGGACTTCTGTCCTGCCGCACAATAAAGCACCTATGTGGTCACATCTTAGGCCTCTGTTCGCCCAGCAGAAAATGGGTACCCGGTGGTATAAGTTATGTGACTATTAACCTTCTAGCGCCTCACAGGCAGCCGGGGTTATCCATCCTTGCCAATCATGTTTATTGTACGCTTTGAGTATCCTTATATTTGGAAATAGTGCCACAAAAATGCACTATTATTATTATATATAATACAACCCTGAGTGAGGGATGTTGCAAAGGTGTGGTTTCTCATCTGTTCATCCATATCTGTTAGGAAACTAAAGTACTTCCACTCTCTGGGTGTGTCAAAAGAAATCCTGTTATAAGGTTACCCAGTAAGGCTTGTTATAGAGGATGACAATCAAAACTGGTTATGACTGAAAACTGCCTGGAAAATATATTTATCAGCAATGGCCTATTAGGTTATCGTGTAGGTACAAATTACACTTGGGTGTATGTCATTGAGGCTTATTGAATAGAGGAAATCATTTTGCTTTGGTCTTACATTTAGCTGGGGTCAGGGTAGAGTTAGACAATATTGAATAGGGTACAAAGCAATTAAAGCCATAATATATCTATAGACTCTTCTGGAGAGCCTGAGGATATACTCTAAGTGTTCTCACGGTTCAGTAATACTATACATTTGAATTTGTATTAAAATAACTGTGATCATATCCTTTGCACATAACAGTGCTTTTTCATTGAAGACATAAAGTTCACTGATGTTCATGCAAGATGGGGCGGTGGGGTAGCCTAGTGGTTAAAGCGTTGGCTCGTCACGCCGAAGACCCGGGTTCGAATCCCCACATGGGTACAATGTGTGAAGCCCATTTCAGGTGTCCCCCGCCGTGATGTTGCTGAAATATTGCTTAAAGCGGCGTAAAACTAAACTCAGTCAGTCAGTCAGTCAGTTCAAGCAAGATGAGTGAGTGAGTATGGTTTTACAGCGCTTTTAACGATATTCCAGCAATATCACGGCAGGGGACGCCAGAAATGGGCTTCACACATTGTACCCATGTGGGGAATTGAACCCGGGTCTTCGGCATGACGAGCCAACGCTATAACCACTGGGCTACCCCAGCGCCCCTAAAGCAAGATATAAATTGACTATCTAAAGGAGTTTCTTAAAAACAATTAATTTCTGCCTGGCAATATTTGAGATCATTAGTCTGGAAAGTATAATTAATTCCACATCGGAAGATATACATGAAAGACGACACAATATGAAACATAAATAATTACATCTTGTACACATGATGTAATTACATTTAACGAGTACAGGGCCCCGTTCCTCAAAACGGTCGTAGCGCAAAGTTGATCGTAACTCCCATACTTTAACATACACTTACCACTGTTGTAGCGCTACGATCGCTTTGAGGAACGGGGCCCAGGACCCTAAAATACAATGTATCCCAGTGACAACCTCTTGCAGGTTCTCTGGCTCCGGGGTAAACAACAACAATATTACAATTTAAACATTATAAACGACTTTATTTAATAAAATATAAGCTTCCAATATTGCAGTCATTCTTAATATTAATGAAACATAACATGAAGTAATAGGTAGTTGGTGAGTGAGTGAGTGAGTTTAGCAATATTCAATTCAAGCAATATCATGGCAGGGGACACCAGAAATGGGCTTCCCACAACGTACCTATTGGGGAATCAAACCCAGGTCTTCTGTGTGACGAGCCAACACTTTAACCACTCAGCTACCCAACCGCCCCTATGAAGTGATAGACAATGTGAAGAAAACATTTTAATAGATTTGTGTGTCCTTTTAACTCTCTGGTGAGTTTTGTAAATACTAACAAGTGCTTAGGGATCATTCATCCGTTGGTGCTGAGAAGTTTGTGTGAGTTTATACTGAAACAAATCGTCAGTTGTTCCCATGATCTCCAGAAAATCATTTTAATCAAGTAAACAGTCGATAGAAAAGATAGCCGTCTAGAACAAAGCCGAAGTCGAAGACTGAGAATTATCAATGATGTGAGACTATGACGATATATATTACATTTATACCTTCAAATTATAGTTGAAGCATTCTGCATACCAACTTGCCATGCATGAACTGCTGATTGTTCACATGGGAATGCATGGTTCAGGAGCCTCTTGTTAACTTATTACATAGCCCGAACTCTATGTACGGGTCAGTGAGTGTGTTGAGAGCTTTACTGGAATAGGAGACAATGAGGTCACAGAATGCACAGGAAGACCTACATAATATTGACACGGAAAATTGTACTCATATTGTCTTTTTATTGGTTTATTATAGGGCTGCTATGAATCCACTGAGTCAAATATGACACACATCCCGAATATTGGGTAGCGAATATGAATATTGGGAAATGAATGAAATAACAACCTAGCAGGTGATGTATGATTCATTATATTCAGTGAAACGATAACAAAATATATTCTTGAACATGTTTTGACCATACTGACAGTGTTGGTGCATCATGGCAATGACCTACAACTATCAATTATATGTAGAAGACTGTTGACTGTTATCCTGCCTGGCTTGGAAATGTTCAACATTGCTTTGATGAATAACACCCAAGTTCAAATTGGTTGTTTGGGTTGTTGCTTAATGCCACACTCAGCAGCATTCCAGCGGCCTGTAAACCAAGTTCAAGTAAGAACACACCTTTCAAAAAAGGACAACCAAAATATACTGAATATTTGATTCTAGTGATCACAAATAATGCATAGAATACATGAAAGTTATGGTTCTATTCATTGAATACAGGAGTGAATAGAAAAACCCTTTTTAAGTTCATATACAGTAACATATATATTTGAATATTATTACAAACATCATTAAGTATTGAAGGCTTTTAAAGCCCCTTTCTGAAGTAATGAGATAAGTATGCATCCATGTTAAACTGTAACATGGTATTTGTGGCCTGACATTGTAAGACAGGTATTAGTGCACACTAGTACAACCAGCCACACTCTAAAGGCAGCTTTTTTTGTCATTTATCTTTCTTAAACTTTCTGGTTTTGAATCTCTGACATTAAATAACTGAAATAAATGAAAACAGGTGGAACTACCAAGAGAAGTTTTAATATGAGCAAGTCTGTGAAGAACTGTTTTTATTGACATAGTATATTAAAAATTTGAAAAGTTCAGTTTTTAGAGAAAAGCTTCTTAAAATCTATGAAGATAAGGCTTATTCATCTTTGCATCATAGAACAAATATATGTCCTGTATACCATTCTACAATTAAACAGAGATACATATACAGAAACCCATGAAGGTCCGGGTTAGAATATTGATCTTCAGTAACCTATGCTTGTCACAAGAGGCGACTAACGGGATCAGTTGGTCAGGCTCGCTGACTTGGTTGACAAATGTCATCGGTTCCCAATTGCGCAGATAGATGCTCATGCTGTTGATCACTGGATTGTCTGGTCCAGACTTGATTATTTACAGACCGCCGCCATACAGCTGGAATATTGCTGAGTGCGGCATAAAACTAAACCCACTCACTCACTCACATATACAGAAAAATGTAAAACAATATTCCTAAATTATTTACAACTAACGAACCATGCATAAGATATGTATGGCTAAATCTAACAACAATGTAGATCAAAAAACTAATGCAACATGCAGTGAATAAAACAAATAAGATACAAAAACAATCTTTGGTCCATTGACACCAGCGTTGGCAGGAAAACATCATGCATGGGTCTGTATGTCCATTCGCGACCAACTCGTGTTACAGGCGTCTTCTTGGGAGGTTATGGAAAGAGGCGAGTGGTGACAGATGCTTTATGTCCTGCACTCCTTCATTAATACACAGCCCCACTTTATACTTGTTGGAAAGTGACTGTTTAAACCTACAAATAAGGTCACAAAATGGTTCCACCAAGTGGCACAGCCACTACTCACACTATAGAAGAGCGCTGTTATTCCATAAGCAATATCTCATGAAGCTTTAGTCCGAGCACTGCTGCCTCTTCTCTCTACACCCTGTGAAGATCTTGGTAAAAATTTGTCTACAGCAACCTATGCTTGTCGTAAGAGGCGACCTACCGATTAGGATGGTCATGCACACTGACTTGTCATAGTATCCCAACTGAATAGTTCGAATGATCATGATGTTGATCATTGGATTGTCTGGTCCAGACTCGATATTGATTATTTACAGACCGCTGCCATATAGCTGGAATATTGCAGAGTGCAGCATTGAATAAAAAAAACCTAAAGAATCTTCTCCCTGCATTATTTCACTGTTATAATACACAAAGAAGAGATGACGTACGTTCCAGGACCATACGTTTCTACAGCTGGTTAAGATTAGACACTGTGACCAAATATAATTATTGGATGATGAAGGAATACCCTGCATACAAACCCATGAAGTATTAATTGTCTGATCAGCATTCTTGAAGTTGGAGAGTCAATAATGGGCATGACCTTACTATAACAACCTCTCGTTTATTGCAGAGCTACGTTTACAGTGTGTTACAGTGTAAGAATCCACACTGACATGATGCTCTTGCAAAAACATTTATCCATAAAGCTGTGCGCTTTGTTCTCTATGAAGTTTGACAACATAACAAGATCTGATCTAAAGGTGAGTGTGAAAAGCTGTTTTAAGTCCAAAGACATTCTCCAAAAATAAGACACTTTTACATATTGAAAAATGCTTTTGAATCAATTGCTACTAATGTTCTATCTTATTTCTACATTAGGTCTATACATGTCACATGTGTGCAAAGGCGAGAACATATATTACAACTCAATATAGGGAATTATTCAGGTGAGTGACCGAGTATGGTTTTATGCCGTTTTATTGTTTTCCAGCAATATCATGGATGGGGACACAAGAAATGGGCTTCACACATTGTACCCATGTGGAGAATTGAACCCAGGCCTTCAGCGTGATGAGCGATTGCTTTAAGCACTAGGCTACCCCAAAGCCCAGAATTAGTCTGGACATCAGTTTTTTAACAGATGCATCAAAGTGTTCCCCCATAAAACTTCATGACAAATGACAAACTACACACATCAAAACTTATTGGGTTTGCCCTCTTGGGAGGTTATTTACCCCAAACTACATTTCCCTAAAAAAGGTAGCCCATGAAAATCTTTGTAACTTGAAACATGCGACAAATATGTTTAATGTGTATATTAGACGGAGCAAGGAATATTTCAAGCCTTTTTTTCCCCACATGACAGCCATGCAGTAACGTTCCAGTGAGTAGTTCACAAAACGTGCATTCAGTCATAAATCCTCAATCACCTCTTATCAAAATAGTTAATTATACTTGTTGACCTTATTCAAGGGATTATGCACCCTTGTACTACAGAGTGTATTGAAGAACATGCGTTATCATGACTTGCTAAAACACTCTATCAGTTACAACACACTGGATAACAATATGGGAGCAAATTTTTGTATGTCTATTGCAAAGGAATTCTTGTAAATTCAAACTATGAAAAAAAAAATTTCTCACCTATTACAAAACATTGGGAAACAATACACCTGGCCTCGGATGCTTGCTTGTGTTAGTGTTTTTAGTTGACGCCACACACACACCAATATTCCAGTTCTATAACAACACACTGTATATATAATCGAGTCTGGACCGGATTGACATCATAAGCATGGATCTACGCAACTGCGATTCAATGACACAAATCGAGCACCTGACCATCAGATCCCATTAATTGCCTCAAATATGGGTTGCTGTAGACCATTTCTAAACAGGATTTTAATGAGTGTCTCTAAACTAAATATGTACATGATGGTTAACTGAAAGACTTGTGGATACCAAATTTTTATTCATACCAATGACACCGCCATAAAGGCAGAAATGAATGTAAGTCAATTCTTAAATGAAACAGTGGATCTGTTATTTTCATTAATGACTGCACAATCTCTGACAACAAATTTATCATGTGTATGGTTTGAGAAAGTCTTTCGCTCGCTACCACCATGCCGCGTGTCAATTTACTAAGTGCTTGGCCACTAATTATGGCTAACATGGTAATCAATGCAATCCTTAATTCACTTCATAAATGACACTTGATCTTGTCAGCAAGTAACCATAGTAACTAAAGCACAAGTTTCATATGCACAACATAACAATAAACAAATGACTAGCATTGCAAAACGGTAAATATTTTAAGAGATTTAGCCATCTAAATACAAAGGTGTGGACTACAAAGGGAAAGAACTCATTTCTTATGGGACTATTCCAGAATTATTACAGTATAATTGTTACTGCATTTTCCATAGAATAACAACATTATTCTTCTTCACTCTGTAGTCTTCGATACATCTTATCCGCATCAAAATGACCAATATTTAGAAAAACAATAATTTTGTATGGAAATATTTCTGGAAGTTGTAACTGTACTGGCTGACGAACAGTTATCACCATATTTTAGCTGTATTTACAAAACTACTCCGCCGTTCATTAAATTAATGAAACAGAATTAATTATCATAATTAGTTAGCTATTCACTGATGTGTCCAGCCCGTTCGATGCCGCTGATCGTGTTTTTATATCGTGTTATATAACGTGGCGGAAGGGAATCATGGCAGTACAAATAGGTGTTTCCTCACAACTAACTGTAACAGCTATCGCCATTTCAGAATTTATTCTCACGTCATTCATGAAATAATATATATTTATATCATAAAGTATAACTGACTGTGTGACTAATTGAGTGGTATTTGAGTGTTACTTGCTATTAGACTACATACAATAAATTCTTGTTTCTCATCACTTTTTTCTTAAAAAATGGGTAGCTTGGGTGGAATTTATTTATATTTTTTTCCTGATTTTCAATACAACATTAGTCGAAAACTTGGAATGCCAAAAGTTGAGAGGATTTTGGAAGTCTGCCGTGATAACTGTCACGTGGCGATAACTGTTCGACAGCCAGTAGTTGTGCTTATTGTGAACCCACAACATAAGACAGAAAACATACATTTCCAGTACACTTCTTACCTACTTACAGATCTTCTCTTTAGATGTTTCGTATGCCATTCAGTGGCAAAATGTATTTAGGTTATGTAGGCCTTCACTGATGCAGTTACCAAGAGAGAATTCTGTGACAGTATTGTATGCTTGGAGTGAGTGAGTGAATGTGGTTTTTCATTTTACTTTTTTTAGGATTAATACAATATCACAACATGGGATACCAGAAATTGTCCTCGCTTACTGTACACACATGAAAATCAAACCCAATCTTGCAGCTATTGTAGCGATCCTATCTTGCGGCTACTTGCAGCAACCTACTGTGACACCCCATGAACACCCACAATACATTAACTCTGTAACTAACTCCTCTAATACTAAAACTACCATAAACAAAACCAATCATTCAACAAAATCAAAAACAAAACATTTTAACACACTGAATCAAATAATTCTCTTCCTTACCATAAACCTCTCAGTGCTGAACAGCAATATGTCGGCCATCTTGAAATACAACTGGAGATCATAAAGAATACTAGTGACAAGTGATGGAGTGAGTGAGTATGGTTTTACGCCGCTTTAAGCAATATTCCAGCAATATCATGGCAGGTGATACAAGAAATGGAATACATTATTGAGCTGTATATATACAGTACAACCAGAAATTATTGAGAATTTAAAGATTATAATTTTGTATATTTTTTTCACTCATTACTCACGTATTAAATGTGAATATTAGCAGAACATAACTCCAGATTCAAAGACATGTGAACAGTTAGTATTTTGTCAAGTCACCATGGGCAGCAATGCAGGCTTCAATGCGGCGGGGCATACTACTGATCAAAGAAGTTAGAAAGTCGTGGTCCATGCTGTCCCAATATAAGACCACCTCTTCTTTCATTCAGCAATATTTGTCAGATTGTTCTTATTGACACTTTCCTTCATTAGTCCCCAAACATTTCTATTGGAATTAGGTCAGGGCTATAGCTTGGCCAATCTAATAATGTCATATTTTGGGTCCGAAACCAGGCCTGTGAATGCTTTGAACGATGTTTTGGGTCGTTGCCCTGCTGGAAAATCCAACAATTTCCATAGAACATGTGAGCAGATGGAAGTAAATGTCCCTCGAGAATATCTGTGTACCGCTCACTGTTTATAATTTTTCAAATACACAGAGGGGCATTGCCCCTAACACAGATATGCCACCCCACACGTTAAATTTCGGACTGTACTTTGGGCGCTGATACAAAGGTTTTTCAGTTGTTTGGTCCAGAATTTCAGTGTATTAGGAAACAGCCACACAGAACTTTCATGTGAGAAAATCACATGTCCCAGTTAAAATTTCTATGCTGTAAGCACCAGTTCAACCTTCGCTCCTTTTGTTCAGGTTTCATGATCGGTGATGGAATTCCTGTGCCAACCCATTGCATGCAGCTCAGTTCTAATTGTCTCCTTACAGACAGCCACAGTTCCTCTATCAATCCTTACCAGCCTTAAGTTTTCTAAACCCCTTCGTTTGTTTTTAGAAACAAGAATACCAAGCTGCCTCCTGTCGGCGACAGTCAATTTTCTGGGCCTACCTGAGCCTCCCTGGTGCTCAATGCCGTATCCATTTGCAATATTTTTCAAAACACGATAAACAGTGGACAAATGGATGGATGCCTGTTCTACTTTAAATCACTTTAGCTGATCTGATGTCCTTGTTATAATACTCTAAAATCAACTTCCTCTTCTCTAAATCATCCATACTGATGATCACTGAAAATATCGTCTGTTAGCAAGTAAACAAAGGGGATAACTCTTCACAAACTAATGAAAAGGGATTAAGAGAGTTGTCTCCCTTGAATGAAACCAAGCACTTGATAGCTGGTCAAGGTTGTTTATACTAGAAATCCAATTAAACATATTCCTAAAATTCTCAATAATTTCTGGTCATACTATACTGTATATTACTGTAGATAAGCCAATCTCATGGATAAACCGAGACCCTAACTTGACCCTTAAAACCAGTATCAAAATGATATGTTCCTTCATCAGCAAAACCACCCACCATAGATCGTTCATCTTCACTTCATGATAAGTCATCGGAAATAGAGTATTAACAAATCCTTATTGGATTACACAAGTTAATCATGCTGTTACAGCATCTTCTGGCAAACAAGGATAAGTTGAGCACTGACCTGACAATTGACCCGTATTAGCATGCATGAGAGCCACCCACTGGCGCTTGCCATTGTGAGCGAAGGGGCCCCAGGTTGTCCGTGATCAAGTGTAGTATGATGGGTGAAGCGCGTGGCCTGTCTCAGCAAACACCGAGTTCGATAGTGGCAGGTGTATTTGTTTGCATTTTACGTTAAGAAATTAACGGGAATTTAAAGTCTCTCATAACTTGCTACACTGACCACATGAGAGTATTATGAGCAAGGCATGTGCAGCTATGCAGGGAATCAATGTCATCATCATGCAATGCACGTGCACTAGCCTACATCTGCTCTGCTTTTCACAAACCAAATGGGTTTGCTCATTGCCTACCTCTTGTAAACGCATTCTCTGCGACGGTACAACTTATCCTTGTTTGCTAGTAGTAATGAAACATGTTCTTTGCATATTTGGACATACAAATGTGTTCTAGTTTATTAATTTTATTGAGATACTGAAGCTCACCTTCAAGAGATTTGGAGACAGATGATAACTCTAATGTTTTTCAACACTGACCTGTTGATCTATACTGACAATTACAGTTTATAGGATTCAAAATGTCATTTTAAAGAAGCAGCATTTCCCAATTAAACACATTAAACACAAGACAATTTCAGGTATAAAAACATACAAAAAAGCAAATGCGCAAAAAATCATACAAATATGCTCCCAGCTGTATGAATGAAGTAACAAATCTGTAAACCACATTTTTTTTGTAATAATTACTTGAAAACTGTAGTTATGCTTATCAAAGTTTGGTTGCACTGAGATTTAACAAGAATCATGCTAAACTGGCAATTGGCATGAGGTGAGGTGAGATGACATTGGGTTTAACGTTGTGCTTGAGAATATTTCGCTCATATGACGACGTGCATGGGTGTGTATGTGTATGTGCGGCTGCTTGTACTAGCCCAGACTGAAGTTGGTTTTATAGTGCTAGCCACTGAGATACCATGCCGCAGTCAAGCATGAATACCAAACTCAGACACACTATACTGACTCTGAGCCGACCAGTCCTTGTTGTACCCATTAATGCCGAGCGCCAGGCAGGGACCAACAAGTACCATATCTGAACGTCCTTTGATATGACGAGGTCGGGGATCGAACCCGCGACCTTCCGCTCTCCCGGGCGGACACTCTAACCACTACACCACAGAGGCGGTCGGCAATTGGCATGAACCCAGCACACCATTAAGACTAGAATAAACAAGCGTTACAACTAGTAGGCGTTTGACAATGACAGGAGTGTATACATGTACAACTAGTAGGCGTTTGACAATGACAGGAGTGTATACAAGTATGTATGTATATATATATATAGTTTTGAAACAAATCTGCACTGCTGTGGATAACTGGCCATATAACATTTTCAGATTAACAGACTAAAAAGGAATATCAGATGTAAGTCAAAGATAAATGATTTTCACAATCAACATGAAATTTTGGACAAGGAATCACAGCATGTAATCGGAGTTAACAAGAAAACACATTTAACAGCTGAAAGGAAAAACCAAATGCAGGGTGCGATTGTATTATTTTTTCAGTATCTACACTAGGTGCAACCTGGTGCAACCTGGCTTGTATGTTTGGCTGCACCATCAAAATTATGGTTGCACTATAAAATAATGTGCTGGTTCTAAAAAGTAACATAAATACTTGTTTAGCAATTTTCATAACAAGTTTTTCATAACAAGTACTCAGTATCAGATACATTCTACAGATCCAGGCCCCATGCTGAAAATGATGAATGATTCTGTTTCAATTTTGCATTACTTTTAATAAATCTCAATAATATGAATATTTATTTGACGGACTCCATCACTGGAGTTTTGTTTACGCGTATCGCCACTGGAGCTGATGTAGTGCTTGCTCCTGATGAGATACCCGATTTCAGCGGAGATTGTTTCTTCATACTCGTGATACTTTCCATTCAAGAAATAGCTTGTTCTTGGAAAGTTTGCCTGGCTTAAATCTGCTTATCATTCCTGCATTTGAAAAGTCAGGAACCATGATTGATGTCGTATGGGACAGTGACCCCTGATCTACCACCCATAAATGTTTCTGCTTGTAACAAGTCACACAGAGAGAAACATACTACCTCCAGTCCCTACTTCCCAATTAAAACACATTATGACAGCTAAAAGATGTTTAAGGAATTATTGGTTCAACCTGTTACTAAAGGTAACCTGCACTGGCAATTATTAACATGCACCTGTGCAGGTTGTAAATAGCAAAATTGCATCCTGAAATGTATGTAAACATTGTGTTGGTTGCTCACCATACATTAAGAGGGCAGTACAACTCGATACAAACACAAGGTAATACATCTCAATACAAACAAAATGTGCAACTGGCCATGTGGTTGTGAAGAAGTTCATTTGGCAAATAAGACAAGGGCTTCCCTGGAATAAGCAACAGTCAAGCATCACTATATTAACAATGGGTTCATGCAAGCCGTTTCCAATGAACAAGCCAATATTGCAGTAGGCAAGCATGCTGCATGAGAAAGCAGCTCATGAAAATGAGATTACAGGACACTTTCAAACACAAACTTGGGTAAAATCCCTCTGACCAGACAAACCAGCTCTCTACACACAAAGAGCCAACACTATGGACAGCCATAACTTACTCCCCAAGCCCAGAACGGGATGAGTTTTATGATAACCAAACAGCAAATTACGTTTCGGGTCGGTAACATTAACAATGATATTAACATTAATATTATATAAAACTGCTATTGGTGGGCATTTTCAGTTGCTTGTAAGTATTTCTCTAACTGTCCACTGACATCTCAAGAGCAAAATTCTAAATGACTTGAGATACCAGAACATCAGGTCTTATGTACCAGGACATCAGGTCTTGTGTACCAAGACATCAGGTCTTGTGTACCAGGACATCAGGTCTTGTGTACCAGGACATCAGGTCTTATGTACCATGACATCAGGTCTTGTGTACCAGGACATCAGGTCTTGTGTACCAGGACATCAGGTCTTATGTACCAGAACATCAGGTCTTATGTACCATGACATCAGGTCTTATGTACCATGACATCAGGTCTTATGTACCATGACATCAGGTCTTGTGTACCATGACATCAGGTCTTATGTACCAGGACATCAGGTCTTATGTACCAGAACATCAGGTCTTATGTACCATGACATCAGGCCTTATGTACCGGGACATCAGGTCTTATGTACCGGGACATCAGGTCTTATGTACCGGGACATCAGGTCTCATGTACCGGGACATCAGGTCTTATGTACCGCAGGTCTTATGTACCGGGACATCAGGTCTTGTGTACCAAGACATCAGGTCTTATGTACCATGATATCAGGTCTTATGTACCATGACATCAGGTCTTATGTACCAGGACATCAGGTCTTATGTAGCATGACATCAGGTCTTGTGTACCAGGACATCAGGTCTTATGTCCCGGGACATCAGGTCTTATGTTCCGGGACATCAGGTCTTATGTTCCGGGACATCAGGTCTTGTGTACCAGGACATCAGGTCTTATGTACCATGACATCAGGTCTTATGTACCAGGACATCAGGTCTTATGTACCGGGACATCAGGTCTTATGTACCAAGACATCAGGTCTTATGTAGCATGACATCAGGTCTTGTGTACCGGGACATCAGGTCTTAGGTACCAGGACATCAGGTCTTATGTACCATGACATCAGGTCTTATGTACTGGGTTAATGGGTCAAGTATGTACCTGATCAGCTGGTCGGGCGCTTCCACAACCCTATGAACAACATAGAGTTTCCAAACACCATACAGCCATGACAGCCCAACCAGAATATATTTGAACTTTAAAAACATCAAAAGCTTTTGCCAAAACAAGAACCTTAAAAACTGAAAAGCTGACACGATAGATGTCGAAACAAATGTGAGCACCAGACACTCTGAAGGAAGACAGTGGAGACACAGCTAACATGTTGTGGGTGTCGAGTCTCCTCAGCACCCTTATCACAGACTTGGTTTGGCAGACTTAAATGTTCCCAGTCAACTGGCCAGCAGTCCTTTACAGTTCTTCATGGACAATCTGAGGATAGAAACAGAAGGGTGAATTAGTGTTGGGAATTGGTTGAAATCTCACAATTGATGATTGCTTCATTACCAACGAACAATCATCGAAAAAATTGGTTAGTGTCATTTTTCAGATTTTCCTATCCAGGTTGTTATTCCAGATATGTATAACATGATGCAACTTACTACTGATGACTAATATATCATGTACATAAACTTCCTTGAGTCTTAGAGAAATATTCAGTCATGGCTTTTCAGTTAGTGAAGTGAGTTTTCTAAGAATTAAACACGTTTTCAGGCCCTGACAACTTCTAAGATATGTTCCCTTGTCAAGTTTTTCAGTGACTAAAACAGTACCGGTAGTTCCAAAATCGTTTATGTTCGATTATGAGAAAATGTGATTGATTGCATGGTCGTTTGGTCACTGCGACCATCTTCGATTATTTTAATTAATCGGAACACCACTAGAGTGAGTTGGGTTTGATCTATTTGGAACAGTATTTCAGTTATATTGCAGGTAGAAAACCCAAAGTGATGCAGGCGTTAGACATTTACTTCTCTGCAACCCACCATCATGGGTATGGTACAGGCAAACCAAGGAACAAGGGTGAACCCATAACTACATGTGTCCTTCCACAGTACCTGAGACAACTGGGCTGCATGGACTGCCAAGAGTGAGTGAGTGAGTGAGTGAGTGAGTGAGTGAGTGAGTGAGTGAGTGAGTGAGTGAGTGAGTGAGTGAGTGAGTGAGTGAGTGAGTGAGTGAGAGAGAGTGAGTGAGAGAGTGAGTGAGAGTGAGTGAGTGAGAGAGAGAGAGAGAGAGAGAGAGAGAGAGAGAGAGAGAGAGAGAGAGAGAGAGAGAGAGAGAGAGAGAGTGAAGTTTTATGCTGCTTTTAGCAATATTCCAGCAATATCATGGTGGGAGGACACCAGAAATGGGTTTCACATATTGTACACATGTGGGAAACTGAACCTGGGTCTCTGGCGTGATATACAAACGCTGTAACCACTAGGCTAACCCACCATCCTCCGCCCAGAAACAAAAACTCTCCAAAGTCAGACGATCCAATAAGCCCTCCTGGCCATTCCTGACTGACAGCATATATCCTTGTATATGCCCATACCATGCAGCCATTCATGTTTTCTTGTATTCAAGATCATTTTTCTACAGGAATATGGCTGTGCATGATATAGTGCAGGTCATGAGAACACAAATCAAATTCTCACTTATTGTCATTGGAAAAAACATGTCAAAATCTGAAACTTTCTGTTTCTTGCTTGGTATTGAACAGACAGACAGACAGACAGACAGTGTGCTGTTTGAGAAAGTTAGGCTTATAAGTGGGTAAATGTGTTACCTTATATGACTTGCAGTCACACTGTGTTTCATGGCTTTTTTCTTGCTCTACCAGCTCAAAAGACTTGTCCTTCTTTGGTTTATTTTTCAATAATTTGGAGTATTCCTGAAAACAGACAGTACCTGTAATTAATTACAAAACAAGAAAATAATCATCTTCTTCTTTTGTAAATTTCAGCTTGATTAATTATGAGTCTACAACTGAATACCTGTCTCAGGCATCACTTTAGTGATCTAGGGAGTATGAGTACAATACAAGGATATGGCAGTGTTTAAAACTCCCAAAATTCCAAGCTAGACAGCCGGACTGGTAACTTTAAAACATTACCAGCCTGGATACAAACTTGCCTGTCCAGTTTTCAACAATAGAAAAACATACAAAATCAGGTTAGTCAGGTTACTGTTTGTAGGCATCGCAATGAACTACATAGCACTAACAGGCAATGCACCGAGTTTAGGTAAACTGAAAGTACATGTGTTGTGATTGGTTATCGTAACATGAACTGTCCAATCGTAAGTAGTTTAACATAATCATCATAGTACCGTAAACACTTAAAACTGACGACAAGAGAACCTGTCTGATATTAAGAAATATTTACTGTTAGGGGTAAAAATATCTACCAGACCACCAGACTGGCTACTTTTGAAATTTGACCGTCCGAGAGGAAAATAGACCGTTCCAGACAGTCGGCCAGGTGGGAATTTTAAACGCTGGATATGGTAAAGAAACTTACGCTGTACAATTTTGTGTGGTAGCAAAAAATGTCCACGGGAGCCAGCTGATGCCAATCTCTTGTACCTGTAACAGAACAAACTCCTGAGCATTATGGGCAATCTCTTGTACCTGTAACAGACACCACATATGTGAACAAGTCCACACAACCCATATGAACATGTCCAGAGTTACCGACTAGTCTAGGTGACCCATCTGAATAAGTCCTTCTAGCCACACAGACAAGTCTAGGTGACCCATCTGAATAAAGTCCAGCCAGCCACACAGACAAGCCCAGGTAACCCATCTCAACAAGTCCATCCAGCCACACAGACAAGCCCAGGTGACCCATCTGAACAAGTCCATCCAGCCACACAGACAAGTCCAGGTGACCCATCTGAACAAGTCCATCCAGCCACACACACAAGTCCAGGTGACCCATCTCAACAAGTCCATCCAGCCACACACACAAGCCCAGGTGACCCATCTCAACAAGTCCATCCAGCCACACAGACAAGCCCAGGTGACCCATCTCAGACAAATCCAGGTGACCCATCTCAACATGTCCAGCCAGCCCAATCTTATCTCACTGACATATCCTTATCATCCCCAATCTTATCTCATTTATAAATTCATCCACTCACATTGGAACAAATCCATCCACCAAAATTTCATCTCTGTGAGTTTCATCACAAAAATTGAGTGGCCAACTGATTCAATCTCGGGATTAGTAATAGAGAGCTTTGAGCATGCATTTGGTGCTGTACATTAAAATCATATCTGTCTCAGTGGAGAAGATTTATTGAAATATGGTTGACATTGTACTGACTGCAGCTTCACCCTGACTTACATCTAATCCCTGACCATGCTTTGTCAAACCTGCAGCACCTACCTCCTTGTCATGTTCCCTTGCCCACTTTAACTTCTCCATGAGGTCACTGAGATCTCTCTTGAAAGGCACATAGTGAACATATGGTTCCAGGTTTCTGTAGAAGTGTTCGTAGTAGTGGGAGTTTTGTTTCAGCACTGTGGAGTCACCAGCCAGCAAATACGGCAGGCGGTAGGCAGCCACAGTCCCGTCCAAGTTCAGCTGGTACTTGTGCTGCAAACATTCATATGACCCTCTCAGTTTCAGGAAAGAATTAGCTTCAATATTATGGCTCTTTATGAAGCCGTAAGCAAAACTCTCCACAGTGAATTCCACCACCTTAGGGCCAACAATGTGCTCTACATTTAGCAACAAAGTTTATGGGATGCAATGTAAATCTTACTCCAACAAAGTAGCAAATAGATAATATAAACATCCAAATTCATACATTTCAACTTAGTATAAAAATAGATAATGATGGCAATACTCCAGGTGAAGTTAAAAAATTTCAGATACATTGCTTAGTGGTTAAAATGTTCGCTTCATGACGCCAAAGACCTGGGTTCGATTGCCTACATGGTGCAATGTGTGAAGTCCATTTCTGGTGTCCCCAGAAATTGCTGGAATATTGCTAAAAGCGGCGTAAACTTAAACTCACTCACCCAAATACATACACATTATCACATACCTCAAAGAAACTGAAGAAGGACACAGGTTTGACAATCTTGCCATACTTCTCCTCATCCTTGGGGAAGAAGAACATGTTTGTGAGTGAAGCGTTGATCATGTTGGGGTGCTGCTTGGCCATCTCCACCAGCTGCAGTCTCTCCTCCCTGCTGTCCCGTCCCCTCCAGAAGGCCACGTTTGACTTGTCCCTCCACCTGGGGCCAGTGTTGCCTTGGACAGAGAATATGTCTAGCGTCACTCTGAAAAATACACATTCGAATAGGGGTGATACGATACACCTCGGTATAAGTAGCCTTCGGTTCCGTATACCATAATGTAATCCAAAAATTATTCGGTATTTTCGGTTTTAGTACCATCATTTTATTAAACTTTTTAAACCTTTTCTAAAATGTCTAGAAATCGAATCATTTTGTCAAAATATATCTAGGTTTGACTCTTGTTGTCAATTTTCTGCATTATGATCATATCTCAAATACCGAACCGACTCACTCACTGACTGAGTTTGGCTTTACGCCGCTTTTAACAATATTCTAGCAACATCATGGTGGGGGGACACCAGAAATGGGCTTCACACGCTGTACACATGTGGGGATTCGAACGAGCCAATGCTTTAACCACTAGACTACCCCACCGCCCCAAATACTGAACCGAAGGCCTTGTACTGCAATACATACTGTACCGTACCTTGGGAAGAGCCTACCATTTCATCTCAACATTCAAACATTGCAATAACGGTGCTTCCAGACAACACATCTGGAGGTCAGTGTCACTTATTTCTTTCCTAAAACTTTCAATGCCCACAACACTGGTATCCACATCCTTTGATCACAAAGCAGTGTTTGTTTGTGTGTCTGTTTGTTCCTTAACTCGACACTCAGCAGTATTCCAGCTATATTACAGCAGTCTGTAAATAATCAAGTCTGGAACAGATAACCCTGTAATTACTGACTGACTGAGTTTGGTTTTATGCCGATTTTTAGCAATATTCCAGCAACATCACAGCAGGGGACACCAAAAATGGGCTTCACACATTGTACCCATGTGGGGATTCGAACCCGGGTCTTCGGCGTGACGAGCCAACGCTTTAACCACTGGGCTACCCCACCTAACCCTGTAATTAACAATAATATCATTGATCTATGCAATTTTGATATGATGACAAGCATCAGCTAAGTCTACATTTCTGACCACCTGATTCTCATCCTACAAATATGAGGTGAGGTGAGGGTTGTTTAATGTCGCAATGAACAGTATTTAAGCTTTTTCATGGTGATATCACCATGGTGGTGTTGGTGTGGTCCTGTACATAGAGCTCAGATCACAAATCAGTTGGGGCGGTGGGGTAGCCTAGTGGTTAAAGCGTTCGCTCGTCACGACGAAGACCTGGGTTCGATTCCTCACATGGGTACAATGTGTGAAGCCCATTTCTGGTGTCCCCCACCTTGATATTGCTGGAATATTGCTAAAAGTGGCGTAAAAACCCAACTCACTCACAAATCAGTTGAAGTTAAGCAAAGTTGGGCACGGAGAGTCCTTGGATGGGATACCATGTTTGGCAGCTTGACTCTTGAGAGTTTCTAGGACTTCAGTCCTGCCCCACAACAGAGCACATGTGATACATGTGGTCTCATCTTAGGCAAGTTTGTTCAAAACTGCTTCTGTTCACCCAGCAGAAAATGGGTACCCGGTGTGACTATTAAACCTTCTAGCGCCTCGTAGGCAGCTTGGTTTATCCGGGGTAATAATGATCAGATTGTGTGCTTTGAGCATCCTTATGTTTGGAAATAGTGCCATAGAACTATTATTATGATTATTATTGATGCAGGTCTCTGACGTTGACTACATTGGTAAAAGAAGAAAAGAGGTACTAACTAACAACAACATAACACATACTTGTATAGCAAAACCTTTTTTCAGTTTGCCAAGGTGTATTTGGAAAGTTGGTGTTGACCATGTGAAACCGATAAAAAGAGAAAGGTACAAAAGGATTTACCGTGACATCATTTCCAGCGTGGCTTCAGTGATATCATACGTGGGAATCACGATATCTCGAGTATCATCTGACCCACACCAGGAAAATATTGGGATGGGATTTTCGCTCAACCTCCTGTTCTCCAGTGGCCAATCACCAAAGTTCATGATAAATTCCATGTCAGGAAGTTTGACCTGACAAACAATTGGAACACATGCAGCTTTAAATGTTGTTTGAACAGCACTAAGGGACTGTTAATAATTTATGGCTAGGGGGGGGGATGATGATGATTGTAAGTGGGGTCACCCATTTTATTCTAGGGAGGTATAGTCCGTTTGACTTCATTTTGGACCGATGAATTGCTCACTAACACAAAATCTAATAATTTCAACAAAACAAAATTTTGCACAGTTTCATGAAATCGAAAGATCAACTCTGATGATTTGTCTCATAATTTTGGACACCCGAATAAAAAAGTTGTTTAACAAACGATCATTATTTTGTTGTCACTTTTCGCTATTTCATACGAGGGAGAACCACTTGCTAGTAGAACAGCCAGGTATGCAAATTGAAATTGCACTGCACACCCTTGTTGATTACCAGGCTGTTCTACCAGCATTTGGTTCTCCCTCGTAAGGAATAGCAAAAAGTAACAACAAAATAATAATCGTTTGTTATACAACTTTTTTATTCGGGTGTCCAAAATTATGAGACAAATCATCAGAGTTGATCTGTCGATTTCATTTGACTGTGAAAAATTTGATTTTGTTGCAAGTATTAGAGTTTGTGTTAGTGAGCAATTCATTGGTCCAAAATGAAGGCAAACGGACTATAGGGGAGTGGTGTGTGTGTGTGTGTGGTGTGTTTCAGCAATTTTGTACATAAAAATATTACAAAATTATGCTTAAAATTATAGAAAGGGTGTGTGTGTGTGTGGGGGTCATTGTTTTTTGTACATACATTTTAGGGGTGGGTGGGGTCATTCACATTGTACATGCTTCTCCATAAAATTCATCATCACCCCCTAGCCATAAATTATGAACGGTCCCTAATCTGTCATTTAGTGCAACAATGTCTTAGGCTATTCTATCCTGCACTATTTACCTACACATCTGTTTGGCATATCATACAACTGGAGCTGTGTGTCGTGGCCTAAGTGGCAAGACAATATATCTCGATACCGGTTTACGACATATCATGAAAGTATTGGCAAGGAACCTGCGAGATGATTATCATCACGATACTATGGGGCCGATACAATACGTATCTGAGTACTTTACAATTTCTAATAACAGAGCCAATATGATAGATACAGTGACGGAATCTGTATTTTGTTATACAGCAGAACTTGTGTTACATTCACACACACTTAAAAAGCTGTTCATCTAATAAAGTTTAAGCATTTAATGCTTAAGAAACTACAGTCAAACATATTCAATATACCCTGATCTAACATATAAGTTTCAAACTGAAGTTTCCCTTGGGAACTTGTGTTTCTTCACCAATGCTTTCACAAGTGTAATTTCAGTCTAAGTAAACTTAGGCTCAGTATTATTCGTTACACTGCTATACTGAGTCTAACAAAACCTTGTGGAAGGTCGCGTCAGCTGACCTTTTCAATGGACCAATCAGAAAACAGCTTACCAAATCGCAAAAGTTGACATTCGCACATACCTTTTGAACTTTTACCTCGAAAAAGTTTTGTACCCGAATGATTCCGAATGCTATTTTCTGTACGATCGCTTCCGAGTGATGCACATGGAGCACGCCACAAGAGTGAGTAAACAGTCGCTGAGAATAGTGTTTTGTCAGTATTCAAGGATGTCGGCTTGCGGAAATATTAGCTAATGATAGCCATGTCAACAGAAACCCAAAACCGTATATTCTGCAGGTCATATATCAGTGTTTTATGCAGGTTTTCATTTGTTATGAGATCAGTGTTAGCGACCGGGGAAGAGAGAATCCATTTTGTAAGTTCCGCCAAACCCTAAATAAAAGCCGTTGTCTGATTGGTTAAATCCGTTCGTCTGTCTCGCGTTTGATTGGACGGTCATAGGTCACTCAAAGGTTACCTGACGCGACCTTCAACAAGTGTTTGTTAAGACGCAGTATAGTAGTGTAACAAATAATACTGAGCCTAAGTTTACTTAGACTGGTGTAATTTACATCAGAATTCAGAATCACTGAAAAAAACCTCTTAATATGCTTTCTAAATGTTATCTTCTCTTTGTTCTCTTTCTTATCAAAGCTTAGATATCGTTCATAGTTGTTAATAAATGGTGTTGTTTGTCAAACAACGAAAACATATTTAAATTACTTGAAGACAAGTATTCCACAGTTAACAGAGTTTGAAAAATGTTCACACATTAGCAGACACACATTCCTAAAATTCAGGATAACTTCAAAGAGACTCCCCTTCCTATTCTAATGCAATACTCCTTACAACTTTAAGTAGCATTTAAATTGTAATGGGATATATCATCTCTCGTGGCGATACATTGATGTATCATGGACCCTTGCGATATACATATCCTGATATATTGCCTAAATGTGTTTTGTATCGATGCTCTCGTATCGTGTAGTTGACGATGCAAACATCAATACTACCGATGAATCGTTACAAAACTACATAGAACATCTACAAGACACTTGGCAATATCTTTTTTTCATTGCTATCATCTGTTATATTCAATCTAAGTATTGTGTGAGTACTTCCTGAAATATGAAATATTGCAGTAATTTCACAACTGTTCCCAACATGACAAAATTCATACTCATGTCATTAGAACTTTTCATTTTATCAAAATGTTGAATAATTAAAGAAGCACAAATTATCTTCTAAACTAATGAAGTTGAGATATCTTTGTTTTTCAGGTTCCTCATGCTTAAAGGACTCACCCGATAGCAGGAAATAAATCATCCAATTAAATTTAAAACAACAATATATAAATACAGAGGTACAGATAAGCTGCGTATCTGCGTAAATTACACATATATTTATGTGAAAACTCAATTACTCTTAAGTCTATTGCGCACAAGTATGCTTGAATTTTTGGAAATACTCAGTAAATTTGATCTTACATGTGTACACACAAAAATGTCAAATCTTAGCTTGTGTACCGGTAGATAGATAAAATAACTGAGAAATATTGGTGGTTCTATTTCAGCACATGCACTTGGCAACTTGTAGTCTTTCTTATTGTGTCTCATATTACAGACCAACCAGTAAACCAACATTTAAACTTTATTTGTTTACAATTAATAGAAAATGGCAAAATACCCAATGAGTTTGAGTGAGGTGGGTACAATTTTATTTGGTTACTCAAAAGAAAATTAGGATACCCAATTGAGATGAACACAAGTGAGTACATAACTCAACGATCCTAAAAGTTATCTGTAGCTCTGTAAATATATGAAAATTAGAACAGGTTATCTATGTGACGTACCTTGCGTGTCAAAGACAAGAGCAGTGCATCTGAAAACATCTTGAAGCCTACATGTTCCCCGTAGGTCTTCCTGTAAATCTGAAAATGTCATCATCCCTCATAAGTTACTTTTAGAGACTTAACTCTTTGAAACCCAGCTATCTAGTTGCATTTTATGGGAATGTGTTTTGAGAGATCTTAAAATGCAAATTAGGTACATATTTCTCCATTACAGTTTGTTTGTTTGCTGTTCAACGTCACACTCAGCAATATTCCAGCTATATGGCGGCGGTCTGTAAATAATCGAGTCTGGACCAGACAATCCAGTGATCAACAGCATGAGCATCGTTCTACGCAACTGAGATATGATGACATGTGTTAACCAAGTCAGCGAGCCTGACCAACCGATCCCATTAGTCGCCTCTTACAACAAGGATGGGTTACTGAAGACCAGATTTAACCCAGATCTTCACTGGTAGATGGAATTGATAAATTAGATGGTCAGGGGCTATGCTAAGTGTTGTTATGAGAAACAGCATGAGATAGATCTATACAATTGGGATACGATGACATTTGTCAGCCAAGTCAGCGGGCCTGACCACCCTATCCCGTTAGCTGCCTCTTATGATTGACAAGCATGGGTTGTTGAAGACCAATTCTAACCCGGATCTTCATTGGAAGAATAAAGATGAATAAATGGGATAATCATTACAATGCTTAAACCAGCATCAATAGCTATCAGTAACAGTGTAATAGATTTGGTATTGGATTGATGGATATTCTGCCAAGATACCTTGTTATTGATTATTTTATAATGACAGATGCTGTGCCTGCCAGCATCACTGAACCTCTCTACAGCTTCCTTGGCAACCTTCTTGAAGTCAATGTCCTGGAAGATCCCCAAGTCCTGTTTAATTTGTCTGTAGCTACTTGGACAGTCCATGTCCTTGAACCACTGGTCAAGGTCGGGCTGTGGACAGTCACACTTCTCATGGTACACCATACCTGCACAAACAAGTCATTGGGGAATAATCCAGGGCCATGTTCACTCCAGAATCCAGATTATTCTGATGACCACCATATAGTGATAGTGATATACTTAAGTGAGTGAGTGAGTTTAGTTTTACGCCACACTCCACAATATTCCAGCTATACTGAAGCAGTCTGTAAATAATCAAGTCTGGGCCAGACAATCCAGTGAGCAATAGCATGAGCATCGATACGCAATTGGGATACAATGACACGTGTCAACCAAGTCAGCAGAGCCGGACCACCCGATCCCGACCATATACGTAAAGTAACATTACCCAAAGATGAATTGTTTGGCCAACCACAAACGCTTCTTCTCAGAGCATAATGTGACACACAAGATGAACAAAACAAATAACAAAATTATTAAATTAACAGTGTTAAAGAGATATTCAGTGGTTATAGTTTTATTCTGCTTTTACCAATATTCCAGCAATATCACAATGGGGGACACCAAAAATAGGCTTCACACATTGTATCCATGTGGGGAATCAAACCCGTGTCATTGGAATAAAGGAATACTTTAACCACTAGGCTACCCAACCACCCCTCAACTGGAAAGTACCACTGTGAAGAGATTGTACAAGTATAGGGAGCAGTATCCTATATTATGCCTCTGTCTCCCTTCCGCTCTAACAGAATCAAGGTATTGACAATAACATATCCGGCCACTAAAATGTTCAGTCATCATGACCTGTATCGTGGGACTTGAAAGGTTTGATAACTAGTAACCACCAGACAAGTGTCTTTTATACCTACAGGTGCGTTAGTTGGGATTGTATGAATGAGATCAAAATGTCATATATATCTTTGACCCGTTTCTATAGCATACTCGTGATTCATTTAACTCTTTCATTATATTAGAATATTAATAACAGCAATGTTAACACATCTGATATGCACCAGTGATCATGAAAATGAAAATGAGTTTTAGGAATGAGTGAATGTTGTTTTAACGCAGATATTGGAAACATTCATTTCTTGTTGACGCCAGGCTTACTTATACTCCAGTTGTATTAATACGGCCTGTAAATATTCAGATTTTTTAACAAACAATCCAGTAGTCGATTGAAATTGATTCATTTAACCATTCAAATGTTTTTGATCAGACAATCCAGTGATTCATCATGAAGACCAACATGAAGACCAATTCCAACCTGGTTCTTCACAGGTGTGTTATACGTAGGATCACTAAGCATTCAAACAGAAATAGATACAGACCTTTCAGGGTGTACGGTGAATCAGCCACATGTCTTCCTTGGTGTAAGACATCTATCTCCAGATCCATGGGGGACTCATACATGCGATACCTGACAATGTACGACCCATCATGCCGGTCCAGAACCTGTGTCCACACACGCACTCGATCATTCGACTTCGTATGTATAGTCACAGCAAAAGCTTTTTCTCCAACTGAATCTGAAAACCTGAAAAATGACATCAAAATTTTACAAAAAATGCTGAACCCCTAATAACAGTAAATGTTTCCAAAGGCAATGTACCCATGATACTGATTTTTCCTGAAACTTACAAAACCTTTCAGCTTGCATCATGATTCATACTTTTTCCATAAGCTCTTGGAATGAAATCTGTATTTTACAGTCAAAACTATTGTCATGGCACACATTGTAAATTTCAAAATATGAAACATCGTATTGATCAGTGTTTGCCATGATACAGGAAACCTGCGTATTTTACGCACAAATTATCTCAAATACGCAGTGATTTTAAAAAGCTTGCGTCATTGTTGACTCAAAGCTACCGGGGCCCTTAGTTCAGATAATCTAAAGTTCTAAAACTAAATGTTTGCCAGTTAACTGCTCAGTGCTGATTAAATACCTGACCTGCCTTACCATGTTCTTGGTCGTTATTAAACAATCACAGTTGATGTGTTGATGAAAGTTTCAAACTGAAGTTGATTCCACAAAACATGTCCATGACTCCCTCTCATGACACCAGGGAGTCATGATGACTCCTAAATTTTTATGCCTAGGGCAAACACTGATTGATATTGATGTTGAGTGTGATACTGTCTTCAATCATGTCAATAGAGTACTACAAAATGGGGGTCAAATTGACAGCAAACATACAGTTCCCATTGACAATGTCAGGATAAACTCAACATACAGCAGAAGTTGACATCCATAAATTTTGCTTTTCTTATGCCTTCCACTTCTAAATGCCATTCAAAGATTTGACTGAAAGAATGACTTGAGAGTACCATTTAAGGTCAAGAAGCTTACCTTTCCTAAATAATATATGAGAGAAGTTGTGCTAGCATACAGTTTTGTTAAAAAACCCATCTGACCTATCTTTTGGATACATTGGGATTATTTTTCAAATATTCAGCTACTCAGAACATCTTGCTGCCTTGAAAACACCCTTTTCAATCACCTTGTACTCTGTGAGAGTATTGTCTCATACCGGGCGGTGGGGTAGTCTTGTGGTTAAAGCATTCGCTTGTCACCCCGAAGGCCCGGGTTCAATTCCCCACATGGGTACAATTTGTGAAGCCAATTTCGGGTGTCCCCCACCGTGATATTGCAGGAATACTGCTAAAAACGATGTAAAACCATACTCAGTCAGTCAGTCAGTCAGTATTGTCTTATACCTTAATTATTACAATTTATCTTTTGCAATATTCTGACCTCAACCTTGCAGTATATATAACAATATTCCAGCCATATGTAAATCATCAAGTCTAAAGCACACAATCCAGTGACCGACATCATCTTATACAGCCAGGATACAACGACATGCATGAATCAACTGAAAAAGTCAGACCTCCCAATCCTACTAGTCGTGTCTCAAGACCGATTCTTACCTAGATCTTCACAGGAGAGGTAATTCTTAGATTTTGATGCTGTTGAAGAACGTATGTTACAAGCATTTACTAGTTCAGATATATGGGGGTGGTGGGGTAGCCTAGTGGTTAAAGCGTTTGCTCGTCACGCCGAAGACCCGGGTTCGAATCCTCACATGGGTACATTGTGTGAAGCCCATTTCTGGTGTCCCCCGCCGTGATGTTGCTGGTATATTGCTAAAAGCGGCGTAAAACCAACTCAGTCAGTCAGTCAGTCAGATACATGGTAAAAGTATATTCAGTTGCAGCTATGATACCTGATCAATGTGTGTGCAAACTTTCGCGATATCACCAGTTTCACAAATCGCTCTGCAACATTAGTCAATGAGCAGTGTTTATCACACATGAGACACTGCTTATAACTGTTTATGAACGGAAAACGTTGAAAAAATGACAAATAGAATCTAACCCTTGCGTCTTTTGATATCAAATATATTGACACTCACAGACATAAAATTTTATCAACTCGTGTTGATATATTTGATACCAAAAGACCCTCTGGTGAAATCCTATATATAACTTTAACTGAACAAACTCTTATTGCTGCATAACAAAGAGTGAAAGAGACATAACCTGACATTCTGTAAGCACCCCATGGTTCAATAGAGCCACACCTCATTACTCAATTCAGAGACAAATCTCAAGTTCTATTTCCAGACTCCTTTTCAACAGTAAGTCATACTTCAGAGGACATCTTCAATATTCACTTTTGCCAGTATTTATATGCATGATATATCTCGTGTATCATAAAACAAGGGTGTTACAAGTCTGTCCGCTGACACTGATGCAAATAAACAGGCAGCTTGCAGACAAATTACACATTAATCACTGATCACATCAATGTGACGACTGGCAATATATGTAAAATACATGTGTGTGTGTGTGTGTGTGTGTGTGTGTGTGTGTGTGTTGGTGGGATTGAATGCCGTGACACGTTTAGTGATGACGATGATTTTTATGCAGAAGCATGTACAATGTGAATGATCCCCCTGAAATTTATGTACAAAGTAAGTGCCCCCTCCCACATATCATGTACAAAATCAATGACCCCCCTCCTTCCCCTTCCCATAATTTTTAAGCATAATTTTTGAATATTTTAATGTACAAAATTGCTGATCCCCTACCTCTCCAGAACAAAATGGGTGAACCCCCCCCCCTAAAACATCATCATAACACTCCACCCACCCCCTAAATTATGAAAGGTCTCTTATGGGAAGGCTGAGTAACTAGGTCACTGATATCGCTAGGTTAACTGGATTAGGGGACTAGCATTTAACCATAACTACTATTGTTCAGTGTTGCTGGTCCAGTGAATTACTGACTTATAACTGAAAGGAAAACGAGACTAAAGTACTCATTGACTGACAATGATCCACCTGATTCTTGTTTCCACACCCTGATGTGGGTGTGGTGTATGCCTTTTTTAACTAAACATAGTTCGAAGTACATGACTTGTTAAGCTATCTATAGCTATTTGAGTAGTAATGAAAGACCAGCTTGTATTATAAAAAGTCACTGTGAGCTCTGTGCATGTAAGGATATTGATTTCAGATTCAGATAAAGGCTGCAAAAACAGCTGTCTATGAAAACACATAAATATTCAGTATATCATATTCCCTCACTCCACCCTTTCCCAACATAGGAGTATTCAGTATATTACAAATGTCACACTTTCTCAGAAAAGTACAAATTATACACCCCAACATAGTATTATTCAGTGTAGCACACTGGCTATCTATACCCTAACAAAGCATTATTTAGTTGATCTCGCTATGTACACCCCAACATGATATTATTCAGAATAGCACACTGGTTATCTAGACCACAAGTATTATACAGTATGACATGATTTTTACTCCCCTCCCTACACCCCTACCAATTCATTAATCTATATATCTCAAATTATTCAGTATGTCACACGGTCACAATGGATGATCCCAGCTGTCTATCATTGACGCATTCCTTCCATACACCCCTACAATGAATGAATCCTACTTGTCTACCATTGATCCATCACATCCTTACACCCCTACAATGAATGATCCTACTTGTCTACCATTGATCCATCACATCCTTACACCCCTACAATGAATGATCCTACTTGTCTACCATTGATCCATCACTTACTTACACACCAATAATGGATGATCCAACTGTCTAACAATGATGCATCACTTCTATACACCCCCAATAATGGACGAACCTGTGAAGGTCCGGGTTAGAATGAGCCTTCAGTAACCCATGCTTGTCGTAAGAGGCGACTAACAGGATGGGGTGGTCAGGCTTGCTGACTTGGTTGACATAGGTCATCAGTTCCCAATTGCGCAGATTGATCCTCATGCCGTTGATCACTGGATTGTCTGGTCCAGACAGCCGTCATATAGCTGGAATATTGCTGAGTGTGGCGTACAACTAAACTCACTCACTCATTCAATAATGAATGATCCAACTGTCATCCATTGATCCGTCACTTCCATACACATCTACATGATTGGCCCTGGTCCATCTGTTGCAGGAAACCTAGACACAGAGGCAGTAAACTAGTTCACATGATTTTAGGACATAGCCAATGTTTTCAAGGCTACTGAGCAGATATAATGTCACGATATAATGGTTATAGAGTTTCCAAAACCGGTAACTGAATATCATGACTACTCCACCCTTCATGCCTTAGTGCTCTGACTGTCACAGGTGAAAATCATCTTGAGAGCCCTTAAGAATCTGACCGCAGGGCTACAGATAAGGGACGTATCAGCGTATGTACGGATAAAAAATATACACGATACGGTAGGAAATAATTTAGAAAACGTAGCAGATACGCACCACAGCAATTGTGTACGGTCTTAGAATCATTTACAGACATATTTATCTGAAAATGTATTGTTTAATTGTTTATTGACCGTTTACACCAGAGTAGCAATGCTGTCATGCATATATGAAATGAAGCACAAGTTTAATGATACACCATTAAATTCCATTCAGTACTCTAAATGTACTCTTATTGTTTTCCAGTACTCATATATTGCAAAAATAAGGAGTACGTACTCCTGATGTTGAAAAATTATCTGGGAGTCCTGTGACAGTAATAAGTACCAGGGTCCTTTTCCACAAAGTGCTACAACATTCATAAGCCTATGATAAACTATAGAGTTACAACGGTCATTACAACCGATCAATCATCGAAAAAAATTGGTTGGCGTCATGCATCAAATATTCCTGGTTATGTTTGTTAATGCACAAAAAAACATGTTCTTTGGGGTTCTTTGCAAATTTCACATCTTTAAAGGATGACTAGTATGTTAGGAAGATAAATTTCCTGGAGTCTTAAATTCAATCATGACTTGGAACCAGCTTGTAGTGCTTATGAAATGTAAATTAGTGACACAGACAAAACCAATCGTGTGAAAAATATTGTTAATGCAAACAAGTGTTCCAAACTTTTTAGTATTCGATTATGAGAAAACATGATCGATTGCTTAGTCGTTTTGTCACTGCGACCAATGTTCGATTATTTCAATTTACCAGATCACAACTAGATATAATGGCTATAGAGTTTCCGAAACC